ATCCCTGGTAATTTACACCTGAAGAGCCACAGCAAACAGTTGTCAAAGGAATAATTTGGTGTATGTGCATCACATGTGTGGATATCGGGTATTTCTTCTCTAGTCACTCTCCATGTAGTTTTATTTATTTTTGTTTTGTTTTGTTTCTCAAGGCAGGGTTTCTCTGTATTGCTTTGGAGCCTGTCCTGGAACTAGCTCTGTAGACCAGGCTGGCCTCAAACACACAGAGATCCACCTGCCTCTGCCTCCTGGGATTAAAGGCGTGTGCCACCAATGCCCAGCTTTTTAAAATTTTTATTGCCTGAATGTATGTATGTATGTGCCTGGTGCCCAGAGGCCAGAAGAGAGTGTCACACCCCTTGGAGCTAAAGTTACAGATGGCTGTGAGTTATGCATGTGCTGAGCCTTCTGTAAGAACAAGTGTTCAGCTGGGCATGGTGACATGTGCCTTTAGCCCTAGCACTCGGGAGACAGAAGTAAGTAATCTCTAAGTTCAAGGCTAACCTAGTCTACAGGTCGAGTTCCAGGACAGACAGGGCTACACAGAGAAACCCTGTCCCATAAGACAAAAATAATAATAGTAATAGTAACAATAAACAGCAAAACTTCTTAACTGCTGAGACATCTCTTCAGCTATCTGCTACACCCATCCCTGGCACAAACATACACAGCTTTTTTTTTTTCCCCCTGTGCAATATGATTGTATTAGCTTGGAAATAGTCTGAACCAAAAGATAGTTAAAATAGCCAAAAATACTTAAAAATAATAGTCATGTGCTCCTAACATGAATACGTTCTGCTGGACATTAAATACTAACTACACAGGGAATCCCAGTAAGGCAGGTGAGCGAGCACCCATCTGTGGGCACTTCTGGGGTGTGGAAATTTTAATTTTTTGAGACAGGATTTTTCACTAAACCAATCTGGCTAAGCAAGCTTCAGAGATCCACTGTCTCTTCCTCTCGGCACCAGGGTTAGAGACACACAGACTTGTCTTTTTACATGAGTTCTATGGAATCAAACTTAGTTCACCATGCTTGTGGAGCAAATACTTCAACAGCTAAGCCATTGCCCCAGCTCCCTGAGGGGTTGTGTTCTTGTTCTTCTTTTGAGTTATCTGTCTAGACAGATCATGGAGTAAAGCTTAACCAACATAAACAAAGCTGCCACTCTATCTTAACCAAGACACTGAGGCTGGGGGTGCCCAGGATCTCCTGCTTGCTCTGTAACACACAGGATCCTGCATCTACAACTCTCCTGGCCTTCTCCAAGTTTTCCTACTCCATCTGGGCTGAGGTTTTAGGCCAGCCAGATGGCATGATGCCTTGTTCCCTGTTAGGACGGTCAGCCATCACTTGAATGACATTGGATACTTTTGTCTCCAGTTCCACTCACAGCCCTAACCCAGGGTTATAGCAGCCAAGGAAACTTCAGGTATTCCCGGGGAGTTTTTCCAGGTCTTCTCTGATTCAGCACCACTTCTGTGGCTGATGATCTGGCCCCGAGCTTCCCAAGCATTCTGGCTCTCATCGCTCCACCATCTCTGCACACCCAAGCAATGAACACAACTGTGGACACAGAGACTCCAACAGACTTTCCATGGTGGTCTCATCAGGTGCGTAGAAATGTATTAACACTGGACATGGAATACTGCTTTGTCTTCAGCAACCCCACTAACTTATTTAACAGGTGGCTCATAACCCAGCAGAAACTGGACGCTGTTACTCTTCGGGAGATGGCTTTCAGTTCAGTAACTGGAGTAATGTGCTCTCTTTGCACCCTGGTTCATCTCCACAAAAGGCTTTTCAAAGAAAATAATTAGCTCTTTCCACCAGTTAGAAACCAAAAGGTAAAGGAAACCCTGCAAAAAGGCCCACAAGAATATTGAAACTTAGTGGGACAGACCTATAGACACTGCACCAGGGTAAGAAACTAGCCTTTCCATTACTTCCTAAGAAGCTGAAAAAATTAACAGGAAATGTAGAAAGGCAGGCTGGCGGTGGTGGTGGTGCAGACCTTTAATACCAGCACTCAGGAGGCAGAGGCCAGCCTACAGGGCCACAAAGAAGAACCCTGTCTCAAAAAAAAAAAAAAAAAAAAAAAAAAAAAAAAAGGAAGAAAAGCTGAAAACATCACAAACTATCTGTTGGACTGCACTGCTATTACTATTACTTAGAATCAGGATTTGGAAAATCATGAATTTTGTGGCTAGCCACAACCAAGTGAAGAGTAAGATGGAGCTAATTGCCCCACAGCAATATACCAATGCTATCCTCATTAGGAGCAATGGAGAGTGTTCTAATTGCTGAAACACTTTTTATAGCAATAGTGTGCAAAACTCTGATTCTTTCCTAATTTGTAACAAATGCAAATTATGTCACCACAGAGCGATTAGTCTTAGAAAATCCTCAAAAAGCTGAACATGGTAGTGCACGCCTTTAATCCCAGCACTCAGAAGGCAAAAGCAGGCTGATATCTGTGAGTTCAAGGCCAGCCTAGTCCACATAGTGAGTTCCAGGACAGCCAGAGCTATATTGTGAGACCCTGTCTAAAAACATAAAAGTCCTCAAAACTGAGTATGATGGTGTGTATCTACCTGGAAGCAAAAGGATCAGAAGGTCAAAATCATTCTTGGCTACACAGCCAATGAGGTACCAGCAAGAGATATTAAGCAAACAAAACATCAGGGCTGGAGAGATGGCTCAGAGGGTAAGAGCACCAGCTGTTCTTCCAGAGAACCTGTATTCAATTCCCAGCAACCACATGGTGGCTCACAACTACCTATAAGAGCTGGGTGCCTTCTTCTGGTGTGCAGGCATTCAGGCAGAACACTATTTACATAATTTTAAAAAAATCTTTTAAAAAAAAGATTTTTTAAAAAACTTTTTAAAAATCAGGTTGTTAGTCTTCTGTGTTCTTTTTTCCCCCCCCCCCCCTCTGGAGACAATATTTCTCCGCATTGCTCTGGATCCTGTCTTGGAACTCAATATGTAGACCAGGCTGGCTTCAAAATCAGAGATCCGCCTGCCTCTGCCTCCCCAGCACTGGGATTAAAGGCATGCACCACCAATGCATTCTTGATTATGTATGAAATGCCTACTCCAAAGGTTCAATTGACCAATCTCATCTATTTATACCCTATTTAGGGTTCAATTCTTTCCCTAAGTAGTCTATTACCCTGCTTCTCTAAATCTTAATTTTTTTTTTTTTGTTTTGTTTTGTTTTGTTTTACTTTTCAAGGCAGGGTTTCTTTGTGTAACAACCCTAACTTTTCCTAGTTGATCTGGAACTCAGAGATCTACCCGTCTTTGCCTCCCAAGCCTGGGATTAAAAGTGTGCACCACTGTGCCCGGCCCAAACCTTAATTTTTTTATACATACAATGCATGTCTGCACAAACATACATATACACTTACATGTATGTGGTCAAGGTTTAAATCAGATGCTTATAAAGCAATCAATACATACCTGTTGCTGAATGAAAGACACAAAACTGGAAAGCTGGCCAGCTCTACAGAAACCAGCAATGACACTCTTGCCAATGTGATAACACCAAAGTATTTGCTGCTCTCATTCTTCCTGATTAGCAAAGAAATAGAACCATCATTAGGACCATAGCACTAAAGAACAGTAATACATTTTAGAGAGCAAGCCAAACCAGATACCAAACATGTAAAACTGAAAGCCTGCAGACGCTGATCAACTCGAGTAACAAAATGTGAGACCAGGCCTCATCCTCACTTTAGCCAGCGGGACGTGTGGATACGAGGGTGATAGGGGGCGTGGGGTGAAAGGCCACAAATGAAACAGAAGTTTCACCTCAGGAAATACATACAGAAAAGACAAAAAATTTAAATCTAAGTGTGGCACGAGGGCATGGAGCAGGTATGAAGAGGCAAACACAGTTCCTTCAAACCCTTAGTAGCGCTACCCCTCAGTGGTACCCAAAGGCCACAGTGGCCATCTGCTCCTAGATTAGAGATTAGCAGGCAACAGCACTCCCCTAAGTCACCATTTGTGTCCCAAAGAAGCCCGACTGGCAGAAAGGGAAGGGGAGAAAGGAATAAATTCCAAAGCCAACAGATGAAACTGCGATCAAAATCATGGCAATTCTCATCTGCACGAATGCGGCTCCCCTAACCTTTGTCCCTCAAGCTGATGTAAGACACCAATTAAAACACATTATTCTATTTATGAACGCTGCTTTCCCGGCTAACATGCTAAAAAGGAAGGAGGAGAGCAAAAACAGTGGTAATGCTAACGGTGTGCTGCTTCATTCACAGTTGAGAGGCTCACACTCTAAAGTATCTGCAAGAGAATAATCTGTGGTTTCACAAAACCAGAAAAAGGGTGTCTTCATGAGCAGCGGAGTCCGACTATGATGGGCTCAGGTTAAAAAAAAAACAGGCTTAGGCTTCGGCTGTCTCTCGAATTATCTTCGAGACTTTGAACAACCTAAACCTCGTCTCTGTGTCGGAGCCTCCAAACCCATGAAATGGGTAAGTTTGAGCAACAGATTGGGGCTGAGATGCGCTAGGACTCGGGAGGACACAGCCACGCAGGATGGGGAGTGCAGAGAACAGGAACTTGAGTGCAGAAGACAGGAACTTGAACTTAAAGGCCTGGACACCTGACACTCAAGTGGGAAGCAAGCATCGCGCTTCGCCCTTACCTACCTCCTGCCAGCTTCTCAATCAGCCAAGTTCAGCTCAATAGCCCTGCGCGTCTCAGTGCCTCCCGCTCCAGCTCGGGACCCGGGCTGGTCCGATCTCAGGCTGACCCACCATTACCCTCATCCCTGAGCGTCAGCCAGCCGACCGGGTCCCACCGCCCGCCCACCATCACCCAGCTGCGCAGGCGCGAGTCCCGGAGCCCGCAAAGACCAGCCCAGAGAACTGTACCGGGGCATCCTGGGAAATGGAGTCAGGCCTCGCCCCACCTCGCACGGTCAAAGGCGCCAATTGCTGCACGTGTTACGACGGGGCAGCTCATCTAGCTGACCAATGAACACGCGGCTTCGTTTCCATCCGGGTTTTGGACCGGGGCAAGCATGGCACCACCTGTGAGATACTGCATCCCTGGTAAGTGATCTGTCTCCGCACGCAGTCCCTTGCTGTGTGACAACCAACTTCTGAGTGCCCGTGGCTGATACGGCATTTCTTTCTTTCTTTTTTTTTTTTTTTTTGATTTTTCGAGACAGGGTTTCCCTGTATTGCTTTGGAGCCTGTCCTGGAACTAGCTCTGTAGACCAGGCTGGCCTCAAACTCACAGAGATCTCCCTGCCTCTGCCTCCCGAGTGCTGGGCTTAAAGGCGTGTGCCACCAACGCCTGGCTTGATACGGCATTTCTTCTGCAGGCGAGCGTCTGTGTAACTTGGAGGAAGGCAGCCCCGGTAGCGGCACCTACACACGGCACGGCTACATCTTTTCGTCGCTGGCGGGCTGCCTGACGAAGACCAGCGAGAATGGCGCGGTAAAGGAAGCGGCTCCCGAGCGCGCGTTCTCCCTCGGGCAGTCACTGGGTTCTGGTCCTTGCGCACAGGCACTGCAGACGCGTCATTGGCGCCTCAGCAACAGAACGCTTCGGTCTCTCGATTTCTCCCAGCTGTGATCCGCATGCTGTTCCGAAGCACAGCCGCCGCACACCCGTTATGTTAATGTGGCTTGTTTGTGGATGCACTCGCAGAAGGACATGGGTTGCAGGGAGCAGGTGCAAATTAAGAATAGCCCAGTTAGCAGAGAGCTTCTTCCGGCCAGGAATGTCGACTATCCCTACACCTTGAAGTGGCTCTACTGTCCCCACCTCAGTGACATCAGTGTAATGCTGGAGGTTCTCAGCGTCCTAAATGTCCTAAGCGCTCTCCTGCCTGGAATCCTATGCGCGTGCAGATGCAAACCATCTGGAACTCACTCCTGCTCAGCCCCCGAAACTATAACCTCTTTTAAATAGCCCCGGTAGTTAGTCAGTTTTTGTTTTTGTATTTCCATAGACGCCCTTCTGGACCCACTGATTGAAAAAACGTGGTTTTGGTGGGAGTAAGATTGTTATGTGCAAGAATCTTCCTCCAGAGGACTTATTTAAATATGTTACTGATGTTTACATTTACCTGAGTAGATTCTTGCTCATCTAGACTTTTAAGTGTAGCCATGCATATACACCGCTCTATTCCAAGCTACCAACAGTTGCAGATAAAGAAGTTATTGATAACTGTAAAATGATAGAAGATAGTAACAATTAAAACCTTAGTCTGGTCTTAGTACAATGCCTGCCCAGCATGCCAAGCTTGGGAACATAGATCCAATCTCCAGCACTGCTTGAGAAAATTAGAAAGAATCAAAATTCTTTAGTGACTGGCCAAACCTTTTGGGTTCTTGCGTATTTGTAAAAACAGGTTCCAGTCAGCTGGTTTTGGAAATAAACTTAATCTGTTTATTCACTACACAGATTTCTCTTGAACACTTTCATGTGTCCTGCATGGTGCTGCCTTTATTGGCTACTGGGGATGCAGTCGAGAGCCAAAAACACTTAGCTTTTGCTACTGGAGAGGCACAGACACAAAGCATAAACAAATGCACAAATGTGTGTTTTTGGAAATCGGATGTCTTCCAAGTAATTGCACAGTGCAGTGAGAGCATGTCACAGGCTTTATGTCTGTTATTCTAGATAGTGAAAATAGTTTTTCAGCGGAATCATCTGAAGGATGGGGAGGAGGGAAAGAATGCAGGCCAGGAATAACTTTGGAGGAGTCAAGATAACCATAATTATAAGCCATATGATGGTATACTAAGAATTTCAAGAGCACCTTCAAAAATTTACAACTAATCAAATGTTCATATTAAATATGGCAACCTAACTCAAATGGTCTCTTATATTTGTTTCCTTTTGTTTGTTTGTTTTGACTTCCTAAAATCACCAGTGTCCTTTTCTGTGGGTTGCAAGTGCATCTATAGTCTGCCTGCCCCTGTACATCCACTGTTCTAAGTCAGTGCTGTTACTCTCAAATTACTACTGGGGTTTTGTTGTTGTTGTTTTTGGTGGGTTTTTTGTTTGTTTGTTTGTTTGTTTGTCTTTTCCGAGACAGGGATTCTCCGTGACTTTGGAGGCTGTCCTGAAACTAACTCTTGTAGACCAGGCTGGCCTAGAACGCACAGAGAGCCTCATGCTTCTGCCTCCTGTCAGTCACCGTTGTTTCGGTACCCAACACTTAACCAGTACATGACTTTTTTATTCTCTTCATAGCTTCCTGTGGTATCTGTGATGAGAGAAACAGAGTCCCAGTTACTGCCAGATGTAGGAGCTGTTGTCACCTGTAAGGTAAGTTGGTCCTAATCTTTGTGCTTAGGCCAAAATTCTACAACTGCTGTGTTCTACTATTTAATACAATAGTCAGGAGCTATATGGGGCTATTTAAGTTTCTAAGTGTTAAAAGTTCATTTTCAGGGATGGCTCTAGACTTTAAGAGGTAGAGACAGGTAGATACTTGAAGCCAACCTGGTCTACATATTGAGTTCCAGGACAGCCAGGGCTACAAAAAGAAACCCTGTCTCCAAAACTTAAAAAAAAAAAAAAATAAAGAAAGAAACAAAGAGAAATTCATTTACAGCCAGGTGTGATGATTCATATCTATAATCTCAGTATTTGGAAAACTCAACAGAAGTGAACCAGAACAGAATGGGCTGCAGAGCGAGAGAGACCATGTATCCTAGCTCCCAACACAACACTAACCACATTTTTATTCGGTTCAAACTGTGGTTAGTAACTGCCCTATTGGTTGGCACATGACTTTTGGGATATTTGGAGAAGTGATGGAACCCAGGGCCTTAAATATGTTAGGCTCTTCCCCTAAAGTACAGCCTCAATTTTAGGAAATTTTTTTGATTTGTTTTGGTTTTGGGGGTGCCTTTTTAGTTTTGTTTGTTTCCGTTTTATGTGTATAGATATTTTGTCTTTGTCATATGCATGCCTGGTGCTCCAGAGGCGAGAAAGAGGTGTTGCATCCCTGGGACTGGAGGGTACAAATGATTATAAGCGGTCATGTGGGTGCTAGGAATTGAATCCAGGTCTTCTAGAAGAGCAGCCAGTGCTCTTAACTGCTGAACCATTGTCCAGCCCCAGGAAATGACATTTCTGTCATCACAGAAAGTTTTTACTGGGAGGGTGTAAGAGTACATACCTCTAATGTTGCTTGAGAAACTAAGGATCCCAGAGCAAAGCTGAGTACATGGTGATACTCTGCCCCAAAGAAGAGGTGGAGGGAAGTCAGATTTGGTGGCACACGCCTCTAACGCCTGCATCAAGAGGCTGTAGTTCTTTGAATGTCCAGCTGCTGGTGCTGCTGGTCCTCTGATGCTGATCCTGTCTCTGTCCCCTAGGTCTCTAGCATCAACTCACGTTTTGCCAAAGTCCACATCCTGTATGTGGGGTCCACGCCACTGAAAAATGCTTTTCGAGGAACTATCCGGTAAGAGGGGTTCTTGGGTTTACGTTTGCCTAGGCACCAGTGAGGCAGGGATAGTGGGCAGGACTGGAATTTGTGGAACAATTACAGTTCCTTCTCCTGCCCACGTTAGTCTCTCCGTGGTGTTTGCTCCTTGCCCCGCAGTACATCCAGAGAAAATGTTATATGAGCTACAAGAAAAGAGCATTTTTAAATAAGGGGGGGGCTGCTGTATCTCAGCTGGTGATGGACGGAGAAGCCCTAGATTAGATTCTCAAGAATGATATAATTCAGATGTGGTGGCACTTGCATGTAATCACACCACTCAGAGATCGAGGCAGGAGGATGAGAAGTTGAAGATAATTGTTGTCTATATATAGCAAGTCCAAGGCCAGCTGGGCTGTATGAGATCCTGTCTCAAAAAGAACTAAATAAAGCTGTGGACCAGCAGTGTCAGGGTGAGCCAGACCAGACAAAGTAGAAGCCCCTTTGGAGGTGCCTTCCTGTTCTTTCTTCTTACTATTTTGTTCAGTGTGTATGTGCTGACCCACATACTACAGCAAGCATAAAGGTCAGGGTAACTTTATGAAGTCCATTCTCTCTTTCCACCTTAAAGTGGGTTCCAGAAACTCAACTGGTCATCAGACTTAGACATCAAGCATCTTTAGCCCCTGAGCCATCTTGCCCAACCCCACCCCCCATTTTCTTTCTTCTTTCTTCTTTTCTTTTTCTTTTTCTTTTTCTTTTTGTTGTTTTTGTTTTGTTTTTCGAGACAGAATTTCTCCATATAGTTTTGCCTTCTGTCCTGGAACTCACTCTGTAGACCAGGCTGGCCTTGAACTCACAGAGATCCTCATGCCTCTGCATCCTGAATGCTGGGATTAAAGGCTTGCACCACTACCACCCGCCTTTGTTTTTATTTTAATATTTAGTCCTGGCTAGCATCGAACTCAAAAGTTTGCCTGCCTCTGCTTTCCTTTTGCTAGGATTAAATACATGCACTGCGACAGAATTCTTAACCTGTAATATTGATTGAACCCAAACGTAGTGAGAAAATTTTGTGGCAAGGCTGGGGAGTGAGCTCAGCAGTTAAGAGTACTTGTTGCTCTTGCAGAAGACCCAGTTTCAATTCCCAGCACCCAAATGGTAACTCCAGTTCTGGGGGACTAAACAGACATGCATGTGGTGCACATATATGGCCACAGGCAAACCATTCATACACAAAAAGTAAAATAAATCTAAAAAAAGAAAGAAAAAGTGTGGGTGAAATGGTAGATTGTTATATGACTTCTTTGAAAAATGATTGGGCTAGAGAGATGGCTCAGCTGTTAAAGGATAGACTCACTACTAAAACTATAAAAGAAATGGTTATGAAATTGTTATAGGATAGGTGGTGTGGTTTTGTTTTGTTTTGGACAGAAATCCTATAGTCAGCCTATCCTTACATTCCATATGTAGCCAAGAATGACCTTTGAATTTTTGGTATGTTTTCCATTGTCAAGAGTTATCTGTTTTGTCCAAGAAAGGGTGTGTTTTACTATACATGCTAAAGATGACCTTCTGTCCTGGAGGCATTTCTGTGTGCTTTTATTGTTCTTTACTAGGAATCTGGGTAATTCTTTCCCACAGATAACTAATCATCTTTTTTTTTTTTTTTTTTTTTTTTTTTTTTTTTCCTTTAATATAGCAAGGAAGATATCCGAGCAACTGAAAAAGACAAGGTTGATGATTGGTGGTTTGCATGTTTGTTTTTGTGGGTTTTTTTTTTTTTTTCTATGACTTTAAGATAATTGTGCTTTAGCTAGGCGGTGGTGGTGCATTCCTTTAATTCCAGCACTTAAGAGGTAAAGGCAGGCGAATCTCTTTGAGATTAAGGTCTACAAAGTGAGTTTCATGACAGCCAGGACTTACTCGGAGAAACCCTGTCTCAAAAACAAACACAAACAAACAAACAAACAAACAAAAAAAAAAAAAAAAAAAACGGGCATTGGTGGTGCACGCCTTTAATCAATCCCAGAACTCAGGAGGCAGAGGCAGATGGATCTCTGTGAGTTCGAGGCCAGCCTGGTATACAGAGCTAGTTCCAGGACAGTCTCCAAAGCAATACAGAGAAACCTTGTCTCGAAAAACGAAAACAGTCTTTTTCCTTTGAAATTATTATCCCTGGGACTGGGTAAATGATTTGGGCATTTAAGAGCACCAAGTTCTGTTCCCAGCATTCATGAAGTGGCTCACAAACCCCTGCAATTCCAGGTTTAGGGGATCTGATACCCTAGTCTGTCCTGCACTAATACCTGCATACATACATTTATGATAAATAAATCTAAGGGAAAGAAAGGAAGATAGATAGATAGATGGATGATAGATGGAAGATAGATAGATAGATGGAAGATAGATAGATAGATGGAAGATAGATAGATAGATAGATAGATAGATAGATAGATAGATAGATAGGAGATAGATGGATAGATAATGATAGCCAGGAGGGGTGGTACCTACTCACCTTTAACTCAAGCACTCAGGAGGCAGAGACAGGTAGACCTTTCAGTTTGACATTAGTTTCAGCACTGAGGATACAGAGGCAGGTATAGATGAACCTGTGTATATTTAAGGCCAGCCTGATCCATGTAATAAGTTCTGTGCTAACTAAGGCTGCATAGAAAGATCCTGTCAAAAAAATAATAAATAAATAAAAGGTGTTACTAGGCTAGAAAGTTGGTCGAGTGTCTGCTGGGTACATAAGGACCTGAGTTTAGATCCCTAGCCACTATGTAGAAAGTGGGGGCCCAGGCTGGAGAGATGGCTCAGTGGTTAAGAGCACTGACTACTCTTCCAGAGGTCCTGAGTTCAATTCCCACCAGCCGCTCACAGCCATCTGTAATGAGACCTGGTGTCCACTTCGGGCCTGTAAACATACATGCAGACAGAACACTGTATACTAAATAAATACATCTAAAAAGAAAAAGAAAGTGGCCCAAATAACCCAAGTGCTAGGGTGGAGGATACGGAGCAGGAATCTCCCTAGAGCTCAGGTTCATTTCAGTAAGAGACCCTGTCTGAAAAGATTGGGTGGAACGGGGCATACTGGGGTGTGCCATTAATCCTAGCTCTCGAGAGGCAGAGGCAGGCAGAGCTCTGTGAGTTCAAGGTCTACATAGGAAATTCAGGACAGTGCCATAGCGAGAGATCATATCAAAAGATAAAATAAGGCGGGAGCCACCAAGGGAGACAACCAGGTGTCAGCTCTCACCTCAACACAATTTGCTCCACACATACAAACTTTATTTTGTGAGGTAGGATCTTGCCATATTGTCCAGCCTGGCCTTTGAAGCTGGGTGTTTATTCACTACTTTTCAGTTACTCCTCAGCCTTCCCCGTCCACTTATACTACCTTTGTCTAAGTCAGATTCCTGATCAAGTTTCTAAAGTCAAATCTTTCATTTATACGATGACACTGAAACAATATACATTTGAAGTGACGTAATGATGCCACCTCTCCGCTGGGATTAGAAAGTAGCCTGACTCTAGGGCGGTTGGTAACTTCACGTAGACCTTATTCATACCTTTTATTCCTGGTTGTGTCTTACAGGTTGAAATTTACAAGAGTTTCCGCCCGGGTGACATAGTTTTGGCCAAAGTTGTATCCTTTATTCCATCAGAGTTCTAGTTCTGTCAAAAGAAGAAGTGGGGCCAGGCACAATGACACATTATGTGATCCTAGCACTTGAGGGGGAAGGCAGGAGGATCATCAGTTCAAGGCCCGCCTGGGATACTTAAGACCTGGTATCAAAAAGAAAACAGAAGGCAGTGGAGGCTCACGCCTTTAATCCCAGCACTCTGAAGACAGGCAGGCCCTTCTCTGAGTTTGGGAACAGCCTGGTCTACAGAGTTAATTCCAGGACATCGAGGGCTACGTGGAGAAATCCTGCCTTGAAAAAAAGTATAAAAAGGGGAAGTGAAGGTGGAGTGAAACGTCACGTAAAGCCTCTCATTTTCCTTCACTGGGTCTGTCTGACTAGATCTCCCTGGGTGATGCACAATCCAATTACCTGCTGACCACTGCTGAAAATGAGTTAGGGGTAGTAGTGGCCCACAGTGAATCAGGTAAGCTGGTCTTGCTCCCAAGTCCACTTTCTTGGGAACCATGGTTGTCTAGGAAGCAATAGGAGTACTCATACAGGTGAGATGGAAATCAGTATTTTGACCAATTGCAGGTACCACATACCATGGTGGGCCCCATAGGATTGTATCACCTAGTGCTAAAGATGGAGCTCGGTGGGAGAGTACTTCCTTAGCATTCGTGCAGCCCTGGGTCCAATCCCCTGCCCGTCCTTCCCCCTCCCTAAAGAAATCACAAGGTAATGTCACCTAGTGGTGTAGCCATCTTGGTATGTGTGAGTACACACGGATGTTCCAGTGTTGGAATCTTATTTCTCAGAGCATGTCCCCATTGTCGAACAGCATGGAGCTCAGTTTAGGAAGCATAGCTCGATTCCCCTAAATGTCAGAGAATAGGATTCTTTCTTTTTCCCGTAATGCTGGGGATGAAACCTGTGCATTTCATATATGCTAAGCAAGATTGTACAGCTGTACCACATCTTTGAGTCTAGCTGAAAAACCATCAGCCGAGTATGTAGAGTCACACCTCTAACTCTAGCTTTTTCTCTTTTTCCACCAGGGGTCCAGATGGTTCCCATAAGCTGGTGTGAGATGCAGTGCCCTAAGACCCACACTAAAGAATTCCGCAAAGTGGCCAGAGTGCAGCCTGAGTTCTTACAAACCTAAGTACACTTCCCAAAGACAGAGTTAACTATTTCCAAGAGTACGAGTATGAAAAGAACATCAAGATGCCGTGGTCTTTATTAAGCTAGCAGTTACCTCTTGAAAAATCTGCCAGAAATACATTTGTGTGGTAATGAACACCAAGGCCCATGCAGCCAAGACAGGAAGATTGTTAGTTCCCAAGTTTGGGTCCAGACTTTCAACCAAAATTATAAAAAAAGAAAATGTATTCTATTTGAAACACTATTCTTGGGAAGCTGATTTTTTATTCTCTTGGCTGATGAATCTCATTTAAAGGCATTTAGCAAACAGAACCTTATGCCTTCTTTACAAATATGTATTTATATGTATTTTGCTATGACTGGGAAAAAATATGCTTTTCACTTGTTACTGGTATAGTTTTCTTGTGTGTGTGTGTGTGTGTGTGTGTGAGAGAGAGAGAGAGAGAGAGAGATGAGACCAGGCCCATTTTTTCATGTTGGACACTTGGGATTTTAACCCAGGTGTTCCTGGTTGGGTAGCAATTGAACTTACCACAGTCCTTGTCCTCACTGTTTAAAAGATAACTTGCAGTGAGTGAACTTTCTCATTGTTTTTCGCTTTGTGTGTATGTATATGTGTGTGTTTGTGTGCACCACATATGTAGTGCCCCTGGAGGCCAGGGAGTGCATTGGATCCCCTGGAACTGGATTTATGTGTGTGTGTGTGTGTGTGTGTGTGTGCATTGGATCCCCTGGAACTGGATTTACAAGACAGCTTTTGGGAATCAGTTCTGTGTTACCTAATCTTAGTTTTTGTTTTTTGATTAGATGGCCATTAACTCTTTTTTCTAATTACATTATGTATGCAAAGTATGTACCTGCCATGGCACATATGGCACAGCGTGTGTATGGAGGTCAAAGGGCAACCTCGTAGAGTCAGTTCTCTCCTTCCACCTCTCTGTGGGTGCAGAGATCAAATTCAGGGCCCCAGGCTTGTACAGCAAACACCTCTCCCTGCCGAGCCATCTCACTGGCCCCCACTTTGTTTGGGGATCAGTCTTTGTTTCTGCTGTGTATGTGTGCTCCAGGCTGACTAAGCTGTGGGCTTGCAGGCATCACACTGTAAGACTGCTGGCATTGTAGGTGCATGCCGCTGCGCTCAGCTTCTTACATGGGTTCTAAGGACCAAACTCCGGTTAGCCTGTGTGGCAAGCCCCTTTACACACTGAGCCGTCCAGCCAGTCCGTTTTTGTTTGTTTCTCAAAACAGTTTGTGTATGTAACAACCCTGGCTGTTCTGGAACTCACTTTCTAGAGATCCTTCTGCTTCTGCCTCCTGAGTGCTGGGATTAGAGGTGTGTGCCACCACTGTCCGGGCATTTTTGTTTCCTCCTTTAAAAAAAAAAAAAAAAATGGATATTGCTCTATTTTGTACGTGTGCGTGCGTGTGGAGGTCAGAGGTCAGTGTGGCAGTGGTCAGCCCCAGTCATCACACTTGGGTTGTCAGGTTTGGCCTTAAGAACCTTTCACCTGCTCAGCCGTCTCACCAGCCCATTTTTGTTTACCTAATTGAAATGTTTATTATGCACAATGTGGCACAATTCTAACATTCAGGAGACTTGGGCAGGAGAAACACAGCTTAAGGCCAATCTAGGCTACAACAGAAAAATCATCTCAAAAATAGTATTTTTTAGTGAACTAATGATAGGGCCTGTCTCATGGTTTCTATTGCTGTGACAAAAGACCATGACCAAAAAACAAGTTGGGGAGGAAAGAGTGTATTCAGCTTACACTTCCTTCCACAGCACTGGGCATCATTGAAGGAAGTCAGGACAGAACTCAAGCCGGGCAGGGTCCTGGAGGCAGGAGCTGATGCAGAGGCCATGAAGGGTGCTGCTTACTGGCTTGCTCATCATGGCCTACTTCCTTATAGAAGCCAGGACCTCCAGCCCAGGGATGGCTCCTCAATGTACTGGCCACTCTTCCATCCATCACTAATTAAGAAAATACCCTACAGCTGGGTCTTCTAAAGGCATTTTTCTCAATTGAGATTCCCTCCTTTCAGCTTGTGTCAAGTCGGCATAAAACTAGACAGGACAGAACCACATGCAGTTGGTTTTTTTTTTTTTTTTTTTTTTTTTTTTTTTTTTTGCTGTGCTAAAGATCAGACTCAAGCCCTCACACACGCTTAGCTTTGCTTTGCTGCTGGGCTTGACCCAACAACGCATTCAGGGTCCTAGGATTGAAGCCCAGAATTGGAAATAGATCTTTTGTACCTTTGTTCTAGTTTCCCACATTGGTGACACTTGCAAATTTTTAATATTTTGGGCTAGAGGCTTGGTGGTAAATAAGGAAAAAAGGAAACATGACCAGGCATGGTGCTACAAGGCTTTAATCTCAGTACTCAGGAGGCAGAGACAGACAGATCTTGGAAATTGAAGCTAACCTCTGTATCATGAGACTAGGGGGTGGGAATGGGCTGCAGAGATGGCTCAGCACTTGCTGCTCTTACAGAGGACCCGAGGTCAGTTCCCAGCACCACATGGTGGCTCACAACCATCTGAGACTCTAGTTCTAGGAGATCCAAAGCCCTCTTCTGACTGCTGTGGGCACCAGGCATGCATATGGTATACATATGTACATGAAGCAAAACAGCCATACACATTAAATATTTTTTAAAACGATACTAGGTCAATCTGAGCTATACATGACTTTGCCTCATAAAAAGAAAAAATAAGGAGCAGGAGTTTTAAGGTTATCCTCAGCTAAAGTAGATTCAGGGCCAGCCTGGATGACAGAACATTCAGGTGTTGACACTGATAACCATCAGTGGTTTTACCTGTTTCTTCATTAGAATCCCGAGGTTATTTTGAACAAGTACATAAAATTGTTGGAGCATGCTAACATGGCAGTTCATTGTTATTTGTTGTGTATCTACATCTACAAAAGTATCAGGCTTCGTACTAAAAGAACCTTTGTGCATGGCTGATTCGCAGAATTGACTCCCTGATGTAACCCTTCCCAAATAATCCCACAGACTAAGTATTCAAACATGAACCTAGGGGGGCATTTTCAGTCAAACCACACTTTTGCTTTCTCTTGTATATGGCATACATGTGGCATGTAGGCGTCGTGGTACAACTTTGTGTAGTCGGTTCGCATAGGCTCTAATGGCAAGTGCTTTACCTGCTTACTGAGCCATTTGCCAGCCCCACCAACAGTTTTTTTCTGTGTGTTTGCCTGTATATGTATGTGCACCTTGTGAACACTGGAACACAAATCTTATGCAGGGACAAGTGCTCTTAACCATTCTTGAACCCCACAGGCTCTGTTATGCTCTATACTGTGACGCCATCCTGAAAATCCAACCGATACTGGTTTTGTTTACCAATTTAAAAGGCTCAAATTTTAGTTATGACTCATGCTGTATTTAAGACTGGGTGAAAGATGCTTTTTATAAATGGGTGTTTTCCCTACATGTCTGTGCATTGTACGCAAAGCCAGAAGTGTTGTATCCTCTCAAAGAGAAGCCAGTGCTTTTACCCACTAAGCCAAACCCTCCTTATGTCTTAGTGTGCACTTCAAACACATCAGACCATAAAATATTGCACATCACTCCTTTATTATACTGATCTGGAAAGATTTAGTAGTTACGCCCAAACGAATTCTGAACCCACATGGTAGGGCCAAGCAGCTGGAACATGATTCAGACAGTGAAAGACAAAATCTGGACATGATCAAGGGGCACTTCACCTCTACAAGACACGGCAGAGGTAACCAACACACAGCAAGCACTCCTGCCCCGGGAGGACAAGCAGTTTATCCCATCTGACAGGAATGGCTTATTTTCTGGTGAGCACATGGAACTATTTCAATCACCGCTAGAAACAGCAGAGGGGCTTTTTTTCTGCTGATAAATATACACGTACCCTTTTTTTGTAAAAGTAAATGTAACACAGACTTGACAGGATTGATCCCAACCTTCCGGGGCCAGCAGCTCCTTTAGGCTCAGAAGAAGGTAGAAGGTTCTAATCACCATTCGAGTTACTTTCACCTTCCACTGGAAATGGCTACAGCCCCCAGTTACCTAACTGCAGGAGAGTGCAGGACAAGCTCCAGGACAAAGCCTGGCTGCAGCTTCTCATTGGTCATTCTACTGGTTCCTTCCTGACCTCTTCCTAAAGCAGACCCTTAGTAAACAGAGGACTAAGAAAAACTAATTACTACTCTCAACCCTCCTGGTAAGAGGAGCCGTCCCTGGATGGTGAACCAAGAACCTGCACCCCAGGTGTTTTCCTGACTGGGTTCTATGAAGGGAGTGGGTGCAGGGGATAAGAGACTAAATCAAAATGGGAGCCACGAGTCCCCATCTGCAGCTACAACTTAAATTTAAGGTCCTAAAGATGTGGTCAGTGTGGCAGGAGTTGGGGAAGGGTGCAGGAAGTGTAAACAGGCAGGGAGGAGGGTATTAGGGTAGGAGTCTGCCTGCTCGCCTCACTTCTTGACCTTGCCCTGAGCAGCCACAGCTTCCATAGCTTTCCGCACGGTCTCTTCATCTCCCAGGAACTGCATGGGTTTAATAGGCTTCAAGTTCTTGTCCAATTCATAGACAATAGGAATGCCAGTTGGCAGGTTCAGCTCCATGATGGCCTCTTCTGAGAGCCCTAAAAGAGTCACCATCCATGTTTAGCCACAGACAAGAGCCCACACACAAATCCCTTCAGCTTTACTCTTCATCTACAACTGGAAAAGCAATTATGTGGGAAGAAGACATCTTCTCTGATCTCGAGTATTAGTGGATCCATTCCCCACAAGGAACAGCCCCCAGTTACTTCTCAAGCCTCCAAAGGTCATGAGAAAGTATACAAAGATTCTAAGGCGGCCACCAACAAACTGCAGACATTTACACTACAGTTATCACTACAAAAGTGGGATACAGCAACCCACAGTGGAGCAGGACTGTGTGCTCCAGACATCATATAGTCAGTCCATTCATCTACCAAAAATATCCATCATTCTGGGTCCCTAGATCCCAGGGAAGAGCAATTGAGACTTATATTGAGTCACGTTTCGACTGGCACTCCTAGAACAGGTAGTCACCTACAACTTTAATGCATATCAAATCACTTAGCACGCACCAGTTCTGAATTGGGTATCACCCTGTGTGTATAGCAGCGTGTGAGAGGCCCACCGTGTCACTGTTCCACAACCACACTTCCTACTGACTTGGAATCAAGGTCTCACTATATAGCCCTGGCTGACACAGAACTAATAGTGACTGCCTTGCTTCAGTTCCCTGGTACTGGGATTGGAGTATAAGCCACATCCAGCTGGCAAACCATAGTTTGAGAAAGGAAAAAACAACTTTTTCCTTAAATCCATCTGCACTGACATATCTTTCCCAAAGGTCTCCTTGCTCAATCAGCTTGATGGGTGACAATTCTGCTCAGACACTAAGGTAGGCCACCACCTTATCATCCTTAAGGACCCCTATAAGAAAATGCCATACCCTCCAGATGCTTGACGATCCCCCGAAGGCTGTTGCCATGGGCTGCAATCAGAACTCTTTTACCCTCCTTGATCTGGGGGACAATTTCTTCATTCCAGAAGGGCAGTGCTCTGGCAATAGTGTCCTTGAGGCTCTCACAGGAGGGCAGCTGGTCCTCAGTAAGGTCTGCGTACCTGCGATCCTAAGCACAAAGACTTATTTCAGTAAGTTGCACCAAAAGAGCTTTCATGTGATTAAGTGACTAGTGAAGGTTTCTCAGGGGCCCAGAATGTAAGAACTTGAGAAAGGGTCCCCAGTCATTACCCTGCACCCCCACTCCCCAGTCCAAAGCACATGTAAATGAGAAGGGAGGAGGTCTAACAAAGCAAACACTTCCCAATTCACTTTAGTTTGCAGTTGATTTCTTTTCCACATGGAGATGTGAAAGAGGCATTCTTGTCAAGGAAGGACCAATAACTTCCAACTAAGTCTAACAAGTGAGGGTCATTACTTAGCAATGGGGAATTATGTTATTCTATCATAAATTACAAGGTTAATGACATTGGGGAGACACACAAAGGAGGCCCAGGGGCTGGAGATAGCTCAGCAATGAAGAGCACTTATTACTCTTCCAGGACTCAGGTTTGGTTCTCAGCGGTCATATGGAGACTCACACAATCATCTCTAGCACCAGTTAGAGGGACCAACGTCCTCTTCTGACCTCCAAATGCACCGGGCAGGCATGGAGTGCACACAGAATTCACACAGGCTAGGCACCCATTCACATAAACCCGACGCTGATGGAGAGTAACCATACCTTACTGATGTTGCTGTAGAAGGGATGATCGGGCTCCATTGGAGGCGGTGGGACATCGTAAGATCGCCTCCAGATCTTTACCTGCGCCTCACCATGCTTAGCAGCAGTTTCTGCTTTATTGAGACCAGTCAGACCCCCGTAGTGTCGCTCATTGAGGCGCCAGGTCCTGACCACTGGCAGCCACATCTGGTCAATGGCATCCAGGACTGTCCAGAGGGTCCGGATTGCTCTCTTCTGCACGGAGGTGAAACAGATGTCAAATTCATAGCCAGCATCTAGAAAATAAGAAGTACCAAATGAGCAAGGTTACGGTGGTGCATGACTTTAATCCCAGGACTAGGGAGGCAGGACCAGTGGGTTTCTGTAATAATTCCTAACTATATTGTTGACTAACTAGTCTGAGGACTGTGCTGCTTATTCTAATACCTAGAATGTTACCCTGAAACATACTTTGAATGTTTCATTTGAGAGAAAGAGATCATAGGCTTGGTCATCCAAGTTCAATTCCTAGAATCCAGAGTGAAAGTGTGCTGACCACAAGTTGCCCTGACTCCTGACTCCCTGTGACATGTGCTAACACACACACACACAATAAATGAATGATTTTTACAAAACTTAAAAGACCAGTTGGTGGCTGCACACTTTTAATCCCAGCACTTGGGAGGCAAAGGCAGATAGATCTCTGAGTTTGAGGCCAGCCTGGTCTACAGAGGGAGTTCCAGGACAGCCAGGGCTACACACAGAAACCATATTTTGGAGAAAAAAAAAAAAGAAAAGAAATGAACATAAAACTTTAACTCTTCCTAGCTACCCTTTTAGAGGGTTCACCATTGGTCCTACAGCAAACTATGATTTAGCCTTCACTAGAATCCTACTAGGTTTCAATCCTCTGAACCCATTTTTACCAGGTTAAAAAAAAAAAAAAAAAAAATAGGAGCTGGGCATGGTTGCACATGTACTCAGTAGATGGAGCCAGAGTGATCTTGAGTTCAAGGCCAGTTTGGCCCATCTTGTGAATTAAGGAGCTGTCTCTTTCCGTATGCCAAGAAACACTTTTATTTTCTCTAGCACACAAGGTCTCCTTCAAAATCAACCACAAACTTCTCTGGGCATTGTTTCATATTAAGTAATAAAATGTGAAGTAAATTTTCCTGCTAGTCACCCAAATGACAATGAGGCTACTGAGATCAACTACTGGGGGGAAGGGAAGATTATCACCAGGAAAACCACCATCACCCAAAAGAGAAAGACCTCCCCCTTAGCCTCTGGACAAGGCCCTGAAAACTGACTATGGTCACATCCTTTACCACCTCCTTACCCATCCAGAAGAGGAAGGTCTCCCCAACAAAAGGCTGAGTCACTGAGATATACCCACAGAAGCCTCATCCCCAGTGATGAAAAGCTACAGGCTATTTCACTGCAATTATTTCCTCTTGCAACAAGGGCCTCACACTCTGGATACAAATAGTCCCCAAGGCCAAAGTGGTCCCCACATAGCACTGATAGGAATGCCTCAGGATCGGAAGCATATACACGTCCTTTAGCTTGCCATTTGAACCAAATGATAGTCAGGGGTACAATGGACATAAGTGTGGACACCATTCTCTCCCAGCAGGAGACTGAGAGGAAGACTCACTAGCTTTCGTCTGAAATCGGATTCAAGACTGTATACATCAGCCGGGCAGTGGTGGCTAATGCCAGCACTCGGGAGGCAGAGGCAGGAGGATTTCTGTGAGTTCAAGGCCATCCCAGTCTACAGAGCTAGTTCCAGGACGGCTAGGGCTGTACACAGAGAAACCTGTCACGAAAAAAACAAAACAAAAAGACTGTACACTTTTGTGTTACTATATTACCACAGTCCTCTTTGTTCTGTTTTTGTTTTTAGTCTTTCATTCTTTAATCATTTGTGATACCTTTGGGAGATGCTAAATTTTTACATTGCTCTCTCCCTCTCTGTTTTTCAGAGGGTTTCTCTGTGTAGCCTTGGCTGTCCTCAAAGGCATGCGCTACCACCATCCGGCTTTTCTCTTTGCACCGGCCTTGCTGTGGTTATAACTGGCCCAGGGTCTAGATCCTCCCGTCTCAGCTCCCTGGATGCTGAAAAATTACAGGTGTGCAGCACACTGTGTGCAGTCTTATCTGATTTTCTAAAACAATGCTACCAATATTTAAGACTGAAAGGGGGTCTGTTATTTTTCAGTGAGTACAAGTTCAATGTATAATCATCTTACCCAGAGAACAGAGGCAGTTAACTTAGTCCGGAGCTAGGCATCAGCCAACCAACTACCTACCGCAGACCTGTACAGTAAGTACTTCATGCCACAGAGCTGAAGAAAATGGCTTCCTTTACCAGCACTTTCCTTTTTCTAGCCTCTCCTACAAAATGCGAGTGTACAACAGGCCATCACCCATATCAAAGCATTCTCATTTCCTTGCATTAGGACTTCATGTCCAAAGCCGTCCTTCTCTTGAAAAGACTGTCCAAACTAGAGAGGAGAGCCAGGACACAAACACCAAGATCACTTCAAGTACGCGTCTGCAACCCTTTTACATGGCTGCTGCTAAGTCCAAGTTAGAAAGATGCAGGGCAGGATCTGCTCTAACCAGCCATGGAGAAGCACCAGGGATTCTCCTGGTAGCAGGCAGCAGGAATTGCTTCCTTATTAGCATTCCAAAATCACAGAGAACAGTAGGGGGTGTGGGGCGCCAAGCCTGGATAGGCAAAAGCAAGCTTTATCTCCTGGACACTGCCACCCTTTGCCCAGCCTCTGTCCTTGGCTACCGGCCCACCAGTTCCTCACTTACTCGTTTACTCCACCCAGAAACGGGGCAAGGACACTGGATTAGAAGAGCTAAGTAGGTATGACCTTGGGTGAATCTTTCCAGCCACTTTTCTAAACTATTAACGGGGGCAGAGATTAAAAAGGAGGGAAATAAAATAAAATCTATACGCCTGTAGAGAACAGCAACTGAAATCGCCCACTCACATCTCTGGACTCGTTTTGGTCACCGCATTTGTGGTATGATGCTGAGGTACAGAGCTCTCAGAAGCAAGAGGGTTTCGAGATGTCTCTGAGGCCATCAGGCATCCTCACCTAACTCCCCCCACTGCCCGGGAGCCTATGGCCTGCTGCTTTGCCTTGACTCGCAGGCGCCTCTTAGGTAAACTTGGGTACCGCAACTGATGTCAGGGGGCATCCTCCGGAAGCCACCCAGGCCCTCGTGGTACCCTAAAGGGTCCTTGGCTGCCACAGGTGGGGGTGCTCAGACTAGAAAGGGAGATTTTCGCCTAGCATCGTCTGCGCCCTCTTTTTGGCACATCCCCTCACTCTCCAACGGTGTGACCTTGACGAGCGGGCTTCCCACCCTGCGTTCACCTCCCCAGATGCAAACTCAGCTGGAGAGGTCTCCAGAGGCGCCCGCCTCTCGAGGGCGCGCGGGGGCTCGGTCGGCCTCGGGACCGGTGCGGACCCCGCACGCCACACCGCGTCCGGCTCGTACCTCGCAACGCCTGTCCGCCGCGCTTCGCTTCCTCGTGGCCCGCCGGGCTCAGGTCGGCGTCATACCAGCCGCTGAAGCGGTTCTCTAGGTTCCAGGCGCTCTCGCCGTGCCGGATCAGCACTAGCTTGTAGGCGGCCATGGCGACAGGCAGGAGGATGCGGCAGAGACTGAGGATCGCTGAGATTCCGCTCGCAGCCCGTCCCACGACCGCGCCTGCGCACTTGCGCTCCCCCGCCCAGCTCCCGCGCACTTTCTCCCCGAAATCTTTCCACTCGCTCTACAGACCTCCGCCCATCAGGTGTGCGCATGCGCCCCAAGCAACTTCTGCGGCCCGCGAAGGGGGGGGCAAGGAGTGCGCGGGGCGGCAATGCGCATGCGTTTTGTATAGCGGTACCCGCGTGCGTCCCGGCGGTCACGGAGCGCACGTAAGCAGGGAGGGCGGAGGATCCCCGCGGCGTGCCTGCCGCCCAGGGTGCCAGCCTCGGAGGCGTGATCGCTTATCCTCACTGCTTCCTCCTTAGGCGTGATCGCTTATCCTTTGAACAGCTGCTTGCCCCAGCGGCACCACACTCCCATCCCTGCGCAGTTCGATTATTCACTCTTGCCCTTTCCGTTTGAACTTGTGTACGTCGCAAAACCCCCCTCAACCTCATTTGTCTTCCTGAAAGCGCTCTATAAACGTAAATGGATCGTTGCTATTTCTCTTCAATAGAAGTGTTTGATTTTCGAGACAGAGTTTGTCTGTGTAGCCCTGGCTGTCCTGGAACAAGCTCTGTAGATCAGGTCAGGTTAGCCTAGAACTCAGATTTTGCCTGCCTCTGCCTCCCAAGAGTTGCATTAGAGGCCTGCGCCATCACTCAGCTCAGAACACTTTTTATTTTGTTTTGTTTCGTTTTGTTTGGTTTTGTTTGTTTGTTTTTGTTTTTTGAGACAGGATTTCTCTTTATAGCCCTGGCTGTCCTGGAACTCTGTAAACCAGGCTGGCCTCAAACCTCAAACTTACAGAGATATCCCTGCCTCTGCTGGGATGAAAGACCTGTGCCACTGCCCCGTTTTTTTTTTTTTGTTTGTTTGTTTGTTTGTTTGTTTTGTTTTGTTTTTAAAGGACAGGGTTTCTTGTGTAGTTCGGCTCCTGGACTGGAAGGCTGGAAGGCTGTAGATCTGGCTGACCTCGAATTTACAGAGATTTACCCGTCTTTCCTTCCCAAGTGCTGGGAATAAAGGTATGCGCTACTCTTCTGCTTTTTTGTGTGTGGTTTTCCTAGTATTTTTTAAAAGATTTATTTATTATTAATACAGTGTTCTGCTTGCATGCCTGTCTGCACACCAGAAGAAAGCATCAGATCTCCTTAACAGATGCTTGTGAGCCACCATGCGGTTGTTGGGAATTGAACCTAGGACCCCTAGAAGAGCAACCTGCTGAGCCTTCTCTCCAGTCCATTCTTCCACTTTTTATTGTAGCTCTCAGGCAGACTTTAAAGAATATAATAGATCTGGGTGCAGTGATCCAGCGGCTTAGGCAAGAGGATCAGGAGCTCAAGAGATCCAAAAAACTGTGGATTAGAAATCAGAACCCAAACCCAAACTGTTCAGGGGCCTCCCCTGCGCTCTTAACTAGCACCCACCACATCTCTGCCCCTGGAGAAGATGGAATTCAGTTTGGGGGCAAATCTTCACTCGGGACTTCCCACAACCCAGTGTCTCCAGGCTGGGCCCACTCTGTAGAGGAGTGTGGGCACAGCCTCCACGGTCTCTCAGTTGCAGACCAATCCAAAGCTCTCACAGGGCCTGGTGAAGGGACAAAGGGACCATGAGTAGAGTGGCCTTGTCCAGGAGCAGACTTGGCAAGGCCCAGTCGGGAACTGGAGCCTGCTCCTCCAAAGGTTTGGTTCCTGGGAGCCCTGCTCTCTCCCCTGGAGCGCTGTGCTTATCAGTCCTAAGGTAGCTGTGTCTGAGGTGTTCCTTTGCTTTGACCCTAATCTATGTCCCATTAGTGACTTCCACCAAATTCTCTTCCCACCTCACAAAACTCAAGAATTGTGCTCTTAACCTGATTAGGGCTTTCCATTCTGCAACAAGTGAGCCAGGTAAGAGGAAGGTTCCCTTGAAGGCTGATCTCAAATATGCCTCTGAGGTGGCTTGCCCTGGGACTTAGATTGTGTCACTCCCCTTCCTCAGTTTTGGGAACTAGGACAACAACCACACATGCCCCTGCTTAGAGCACTGTTGGGAGAAATAAATGAGAGGACCCCTGAGATGGACTCAGTGCTGTGTCCAGCAATCAGTCCTAAGTGAAATAAATGTTAGCAACATTGCACTCATGAATATTAGTAACAGTGTTACACTGTTACCAGGAAGACAAAAAAAAAAAAAAATAATAATTAATGAGGATACCCTGGGAGTACCTCCAAGCTTACCTTGAGTAGGATGCCCAGTAAGATACGCTTGTCTAGCAGGATGAAAACTAAACAAACAACTAGAATATTGTTTTATTCTGTTCTCTCTCTCTCTGTGTTTTCTTTTGCTGTTTCTTTTTTTTATTTATTTATTTTTTGGAGTCATGGTCTTGTCTTGCTGTATAACCCATGCTGGATTCAAACTCCCAATCCCCCTGCCTCAGCCTCCAGAGTGCTGATATTATAGGAGTACACATGGACTTCTCCAGTACAGGCAGATAGAATTCTTTGGGCAGTAGGTCAAAGGTCTCTGTGCCACCAACTTGGGAAAGCACTGGCTGTTCAGCCTCAGCATGGAGCCTCCCTCCCCTGTGATTCTGGTGACTCTAGTACCTTTAGGCTTTGATTTTAGCATTTCATCATCTGTATCTGGGACTGTCAGTCTTTTTATTTTTTGTTACCATTTGGAGTCTTATGATTGTTTTGTTTTGAAATGGGACAGCCCTGGCTGTCCTGGAATTGCTCTGTAGACCATCCTGGCCTTGAACTCAGAGATTCTCCTGCTTCTGCTTCCAGAGTGCTGGGACTGAAGGTGTGCCCTACCAAACCCATATGGAATGGTTTGAATAAAAATGGCCCCATAGGTTCATATATTTGAATGCTTAGTCCTCAGGAAGCAGAACTAAACTACTTGAGAAGGATTAGAAGAATTAGGAGATGTGGCCTTGTTGGAGGAAGTGTACCACTGGGGATGGGCTTTGAGGTTTCAAAAGCCCATGCCAGCCAGACAGTGGTGGCACATGCATTTAATCCCAGCATGCTTGATGCAGAAGCAGGAAGATCTCTGAATTCTAGGCCAGCCTAATCTACAGAGAAAGTTCCAGGACAGCCAGGGCTACACAGAGAAACTGGTTTTGGAAAAAAAAAAAAAAAAAAAAAAGATGTATAATATGTATTTAATAAGAGTTCCCATGGTCAAGGTATCTCTTCACAGTAATAGAAAATGACTAAGAACCACTGAAAAAAGTAAGTCTTAAAATAAAAGAGTAGGAGATGATCAAACAATCAGATTCATCAGTAACAAATCAGAGCTGTCCTGTGGAGAGGTTGGGTCTTGCTGCTTCAGGCAACAGTCAAGTGCCCAGAGAGATCTGGAGAAGGAGGGGGCTGCCGCCTTTCTTGTCCTAGTGACCAGGACTTTTAAAGGTTGTGCAGCCTGAATGCAGAGTTCCTGGGCAGAGATGGTAAACCATCTCTGTGTATTACAGCATCTCGGATCTGAGAAGCTTAAACTGATCAAATCAGGGAGGCTGTTTCTTCTTCTCTTTTGACGTTTTTGTTGTTGTTTTGTTTGTTTCTTTGTTTGGTTTTTTCAAGACAGGGTTTCTGTGTAGCCTTGGCTGTCCAGGAACTCCATCTGTAGACCAGGCTGGCCTTGAACTCACAGAGATCTGCCTGCCTCTGCCTCCCAAGCTCTGGGACCAAAGGCATGTGCTACCACTGCCCAGACTTTTTTTTTTTTTTTTTTATGTGCATGAATGTTTTACCTCTGTGTATCTATACATACCATAAGCATGTCTAATGCCCTCAGAGTCCAGAAGAGGGCATTAAATACCCTGGAACTGGAGTTATAGATGTTATAAGGAACCATGTGAGTTCTGGGAACTGAACCTGGGTGTTCTGCAGCAGCAAGTGTTCTTAATCACTGGGCCCCAAATCAGGGAGATTTCTTAAACTCTACCAAAAAAAAAAAAAAATCAAGAATAAATCCATGTATTTTCTCTTCAGTGCTTTTTTTTTTTTTTAAATCTTATCTCTAATGACTGTTCTGCCCTCTAAAGCCCAGGTTCTAAGTAGAGAAGTTTACAGTTTTGAGAAACAAGCAGGTAGATAGATGCCACTGGCCACGGCTTGGCTGTGATGAGACCTTCATCCTCCTGCTCCTTCTGAGAGGTCATTTGTTCAGCTCTGGCAGAGCACTGTCCTGCTTCCACCAGAAGGCATGTGGGCCACACCACAGAAAGTGTCCTCCCCACAAGGATCCTGTCCTCTACAGTGGAGTTGGAAGTAGGACTTGGGAGACGTCATTGGATATGGAGAGTTCTGCCTCCCTCAGTATCTAATCCACAAATGGATTTAAAATTTGAACAGAAAAGAAAGAATAAAAGTAAAAGAAAGGAACCAAAAAGAGAGGAGGAACGTTAAAAAGAAATGGAATAGACTGTTGAAGAGCAGATCTATGGAAGGTGGCACTTAGTTGGGACAAGTGAATCCCTTGGCGGAGTGTGTCCTGGAAGGAAATGCTCTGCACCAAGGCCCTTTCTTCATACTTGCTCTGCTTCCTCCCTATAAGGTAAGCGCTTGCTGCCATGGTGTGCTGTGTGAGCTTGGATAGACACTGACTCAAACTACTCGCCACACCCACCCTGCATTTAAGTCATTATCAGGCAGGTCTGACTAATACAGTTCCCCTTCTGGGGGATGGCCATGAAGGATCATCGTGCCTTGTGTCCTTTGCCTTCATTCCAAAGTCTGAACTCCGGCCACACTTGAAATTCTGGACCAAAGCTCCTCTTTTAGAGCAGGGTTTGATTCCTTCAGTTCAGGGCAAGTTCCAGAACTCTGACAGCTTTTTTTTTTTTTTTTTGGTTTTTCAAGACAGTGTTTCTCTGTGGCTTTGGAGGCTGTCCTGGAACTAGCTCTTGTAGATCAGGCTGGTCTCGAACTCACAGAGCTCCACCTGCCTCTGCCTCCCGAGTGCTGGGACTAAAGGTGTGTGCCACCACTACCTGGCTTCTGACAGCGTTTAAACAATGCTCCGGTGGACTAGAAAACTCAGGGACATAGATAGGAGCTTCAGCCCTGTTCC